GAGGATTAGCCCTCTGCAATGCTACAATCCAAGCGCTATGCCAGCTTAACCGAAGCATTAAGCATACCTGTATTAATGTATTTGTCTATTTAAAATATCTTTCAAACTTACATGCAACACACATAACGAGAAAAACAAGTAATCTAAACTTTTTTAATCTCACCTCTAAGTTGTAACATAACTATCGTGATAGAAGCAGATAGAAAAACTTTGAGTTTTCAAAGCTAGTTACAGAAATTACTCGAGTTTTAAAAGTAGGTTAAAATGAGATGATAAAATGCAAACTTTGTAATAATGTATGCCTCGTTAATCGAGCAATTATTAAGAGCCATTGATAGATTCGCAATTAAGTATTCTTCTCTTTTGAATTAACATACATAGTGTTCATTAGATTGTTTTAGAGCATTTATTTTTTTTTATTTTTTTCCGAATCCGATCCTAACCCTTGAAAAAACGTTCCGATAGAATTGTAGAAATGTTTCTATGGTAGTTTACGCACTGTTTACGTCATTAGATTTCTGTCATTTATAGACATATTAATATTATTATTATTTTTTTATTTTTTTTGTGGAAAATTATCACATGACTTCTCCCGCCCAGGTTGAAGGGAGAAGGAGTGACAGGCTCTTACTGACAAAAATCCCCTCCGTTCCTTCTCCTGCTCGAGGCCGAGGCTGCGGTACCTTATTGCGCTACCCAGGCTGAACATCGGCCCTGTTGAGGACCATCTGTGGTGGTCTATTCTATTGGCTCTTTGAGGCACGCGCGGAATGCTACGCGCCGTACGCTCGGGTCTGGTTCTGGTCAAATCAAATCAAATCAAATCAAAATCATTTATTCCAACTAAACCATAAATAGATACTTTTGAAACGTCAAAATAGAATAGTAGTCTGTCAGTCTGTTCGTCATTGAAGCTAGGTGTCATACCCACGGTCTTTAGTTATATTAGAATTCGGATTTCCACTGTCTCGGATAGGTTTCAGATTGGACGTATTGCGTAAGCACACTTACGTTCATAAAATTTTTAAACATAATTGTTATCGTTATTCATTTTTCTTTAGTAGGTATCTTGAATGTTGTTGAATTTGTTTGGTCCTTTATGGCAAGAAGTTTATTTTTCCTAGGAACTAGAAAAATACCTACATCATACACCATCAGCCTATAAGAGCCCAATGGTGCTTACTGCTGAGCAAAAATCTCTTCTCACTCGGAGATTGTTTGAGCATTGATCATTGATCATCACGCTTGCTCAATGTGGATTGGTGATTTCAAACTTATAATTAGAAATTATAAGTTACTTCAACGTGTGTTAGTGGTGTCTATATAATCGTCGATAGTACATATAACTTTGAAAAAGTGACATTGGGAATTGCCAGATAGATATTTAAATAAATTTGATTTAGATAAATGTGAGATAGTCTCTGTCTTCCCCTTACTCTGTACAATGAAACTAGCTAGCCCCATATTGCTGCTTTGTCTCCGTAATGGAAATGCATTTGTGATGCAAGCCTTTGATATTGGAAATGTCTTTTTGAGGCTATGATCGATTGTTATATTAAATGTAGAGCTTTGTATCGCTGTTACAGTTTTAAATTGCAAAGCATTGTCTAACGTAAGGTAAAGTATAGGTAGTTATGCATGTCCCTGAGACGATATAATATGGTAGCTTTCAACTAGTCAGATTCATTACTTTTATCCAAATGTCAAAAACAATACTTTTCTATGAAATTTGTGTGAAACGCTGAGTTATGACGTCATAGTATATTAGATCATATCATATTATAGCCACAAATAGCTAACATATTTTAAAAAAATGAGTACCTAAGTTAATTTTTAAAATTTAAAATTTAGTGTAAACAATTTAAAATTTAGTGTATCGATCGATCGATGAATAAAAGTGTAGTTATTTTCCAATATTTAATTGTATTGAAACGTCGAATTAATTTATTTTTTACCTAGGAAACTACCCAATTTAGATATTTTCAAAAGGGAACTGGTTCTTGTCAACGAGTCAAACGACTTCTTTTTTCAAATTTTCTTAATCGACAGTTTTCTATGATTTTTTAAGGTTATGGTGTGTTACGTCATGTTTTTTTGCGTGAAATAATATAGGTACTTATATTTCGAAAATTAGGTAGATTTTCGAAAATTTGAATTTGATTTTAAACACTTAAATCGTACGAGGTAAAATCGACATTTTTTTTAATTCATCGAAATCCGAAGATATAATTTTACAGTAGCTACAGTAAAATTAGTTTCCACTTTTCTCGGTCAATTACATGTAGGTAGTAGCAGACAGAATGACTTAAGCATTACTAAAAGTATAAAAGACTAAATTTTTAAAAACGTGTTCGTCATACCTTCGCCTGTATGTGCCAATGCTAGACTGGCTGAGAATGCCTCAGGCATTGAATCCGTCGTAGGGTATTTCTTCACATCAATTAAAAAAAAATTAATAATGTCATTATCCTCAACCGAAAATTAACGAGTCTGCCGATTAAAACACAGATAATTATTTTATTAAATTAAATCTCACCACTGCTTACAAGCAACCGATTAAAAATATTGTATAAAATAAATTACTAAGATGCTTAAAAACCTGGGAGGATAATGACTTGTTAAATAAAAGTTAAGGTTTTTTGGAGAATCACCCATGTACCTACCTAACAAAGACGGGTGTTTCAGGGGTGAAATATAAGTGGTTTTCCTGTTCAATTTCAAGGAAATAAGCATTATATTTAGTATAAAACCCCAACCATCTAATTACCTATTTATAAAGTCACACCTACCAGAAATCAAGTTATAACTTATTCACAGAAGGATCACTTATTAAATGTGTCCTTTATCGACCAAGCTTATCTCCCGAGTCTGCCTGTCCGCCATTAATTCTTTATTACATCTTTCATGAGGCATTTTCGGGGATTACTGAACATTATCGCTACATATTTGATACGGTTTATGCGGAACGATAAAAATGTCGTATCACGCTGCAGTGAGTGATAAGGAAATTGTACACGTTACGCTTACGACATTAGTACTTATTTACGCTGCAGTATTTTTCTTCATTTGTTTTGAATTTAGAATGTATTATTTTTTATTCAAAAATCGAATTATACAAAAGAAAAATCCGGACACCTTACTTTCATAACGGTGATTTAATGCGAACCTCCTTGTTGACGTATAAATAAAAGTATGATACATTTTTTTTCAAAATTTTAGACATTAAATTGGGTATTCCAAATTTAAAATAATAATCTTAAAATCTATTTTCGAAACGCGGCAACCATATTTTGATTACATAGCATTTGTTTTTGAAGATGGACAGATAAATTGGCTATGAAGGAATTTGAATAATTACCACGATAATTATGTTAAATTAAACATTGTATTAAAAATTTAAATTACAAAACTTCAAAATCATAAATAGGTACCTATTTTAAAAAGATATAATTTTTTTTTGATCGTAACGAAATAAAATTCAATAATTTTTCAGTGTTGTTGACCTCTATACTGTAGAGAATTTCACGCAACACGCCGTTTACGCAACATCTAGCGTATCTACAGGAATCCTTATCATTATCATATTTATATTATTATCATTCGCAACGTAAATAGTGATAAATCGTCTGTGTACGCAATTTTGAATTTTATACTAACAGTTATAAGATTTGTAATTGTTTAGTTAATTTTGAATCTAACGTGCAAGACCTAGGGTCGGTAAGACACCAGTATTTTTTCGCATCTACGTCCGTGGCGACGTCTGGGCGTAGCAACGAGTAAAAAATATTTATAAATTACTCTTATTATAATTGAGATATTTACTGAAAAAATATTAGTCAGTCAGTACTTTTTTATTTAGAGTAACAGAACACAAGTTTTGATTAAATAAAAATAACCTAAAAAACCAACCACCATACGCACGGAAATTAATTTAAAAAAAAGATTTCAAAATTTAGAATAAATTGTAATCAAACACTTCTAACTAACCAATTTAACAACATTTCCTTTTTCAAAATTTAGGTTTGAATATAGAAGACAATAATAAATTATAAAAAAAATAACGAAAGTATATCAGTATTAGTCTTCCACGTGCAATTATTATTACAATAATAGTGATGTGTAATAGTGTGAGTGTGTATTATTAGTAAAAAAAATAGAAAAAGTGTATATTATTAACTGTTATTATGGAAATGTTAAGATTTGGATTGTTTCCGATCGCATTGACAATCGGCCTTACATATCTGAACGTGAAAAAGTGAGTGTTTTGGTGCTTTTTTCCTTTTTTTTCGTACGATTTCAGCTTTATTTTCATTACTGATTCAAATGCTGGTTTTTTTCCGCCAGGCACGGTACATTATTGCTCTTGTAGCGAAAGCTAAATGCTGGCTTAGATTCTCAAATAAAAATATCTAACAAAATTGCATCCCTAAAATACTTACATAATACGTAGTATTTATGTACAAAATGTCTAAGATTTTTTTTTGTTTTCGAAGATTCTTTATTATATTTGTTTGTCAAATACATAGTATTTACCTATTGTATAAATAAAAATCGCATGATTTTTTCTTACAATTTTGACGTGTGACTACTAATACTATTGCATATTCATTAACTATGATCAATTCATATGTGTGTCCATCCATTAATGCTATGCGGAACTCCATATTGTTACAATATCCATAAAAATATTGCTTATAACTATTCTTTGAATAAGTAACGTATCAGGACAGAAACATATAGCTATTTTCCCTTCAATAGACAACAATGTACTCAAAGTAAAAGAACTCAACATTAACTATATCCAACAATCCAATTCTCCAGTAAGAGGATTGATATTAGCTATTACTGGGTCCCCAGGATGATTTTTAGCCACAATGGCTATGTAAGAAAAAGGCACAAAAACCGACATTCAAAACTAGCGACATCTAGCGACAGACACCTCAACAACTATCAAAAAATGTAACTAGTAACAAACATATGACCATCTCTCTCTTCCACAGGAACTCTTACAGTAGAAGAGGTGTACAAGGACAGAGATCAGTTTGCGGGTCTTGTTCGCGAGGTGGCAGCACCGGACGTGGGGCGCATGGGCATCGAGATCCTGTCGTTCACCATCAAGGACGTGTACGATGATGTCCAGTACCTCGCCAGCTTGGGCAAGGCGCAGACGGCGGTCGTCAAGCGCGATGCAGACGTCGGCGTTGCGCAGGCCAACCGAGATGCTGGTATCAGGGTGAGAGAACGTTCTAGAATCATTCTATTCTGTCTGCCTATCAGGATAAGTAAAAATACATTTGTGAGCCTCCATACTCTTCCGACAGGATTTATAAGAGACGACTAAGGGATTCTACCAGATCATTCTCCGAAAAACCTTTATTCTTCTAAACTGCGATCCTCAAGCTACTTGCCAAGCGGTGACTCTGGCAAAATTATCAATTTTTATAAAATTGGTCCATCGTGCAGTGTGTAGTGTGTAGATATTATATAATATAAAACCTGTAAATGTAGTCAATAATATTCTTTAACGATTGAAAACTTGTGCTCAATGGTAAATAACCAAGGTTAGCTGTGAAGCTCCTACTGACAAAGGAAAAAAACTAAGTTCTTAATTAGACACATAGGTTGATCGAGTAGGTATATACTGTGGGTATATAATGGTGACGACGTATGACCTTCAAATATTAAATTAATAAGTTCAGAATTTAAAGTTAACTGACATTCTTTTTTCAAACTGCTAAAAAGAAAATATTTTTTGAATTTCGTAAAGCCGTCTAATTAGCATACCATGACGAAACGTGAAAATTGCTATTAATGTGTATTATTCACGTCATTAGGCTCATGCATAATGCCGGCTGTTCGAGCCCAATGAACCGTAACGCCGGGCGTGTTGGAGCCTATAGTCGGCCATTTATTTATCCGCCACAAGTTGTCACAAACACTAACCAATTAATTCCGGAGAATCTGGAACGTTTATACTAGTTTTAATCTGTAGAGAATTGGTTAAAATAGCTTTATGCAAATACAAAGTTTGGAGTAAAAGCAAGCTTTTAATAGCTCCTCTACAAGGTCTAACCAGCTATATTTAAAAGCAGCAGCGCAAACCCCCTGATGGTAAGCAATTGGCGGCGTCCATGGACATCTGCAACACCATAGGAGTTGCACTATTTGTGCCGAAGCATAGCCCTTCCGAACTTACCCACACATCTTTATTTCGTTAATAATCGTGCAATATTGACAACATGTAAAATATGACCTTCTTATTTGAAGTATATTCTTACATACATATATGCAGGTAATGATAGGTGAATTTAATACTGTATGCGCTCTCCAACGTTATATAGATTCAGCCAGGGTTGCAGGGTAAGCACAATAAGGCATCGCGGCCTCGGCCTAGAGCAGGAGAAGGAACGGGGTTTTTTAGTCAGCAAGACTGGGCAGTAGAAAGTATTTGACGATTTTCCCCTCCCGAAAAGAATCTTATATAAATGCCTCAATGCTGTTTTCTAGGAAGCGGAGTGCGAGAAGAGTGCGATGGACGTGAAGTACTCCATGGACACGAAGATCGAAGACAACACACGTCTGTTCAAGCTGCAGAAGGCGCAGTTCGATCAGGAGGTCAACACTGCGGTATGTACGCCATCTTTAATTTTTAAAGCCATTGAACATATATTTATTTAAATTAGTACCTACTGTAAAAAAATCATTTTTAAATATTACTTCAAAATGTGTATAATATTTAAAAATATAAAAATTGGAGCCAACCGGCAGATTTTAGCAAAGAAATTATGGCAAATTATTTTACCGCTTTTTGTTTTTTGGCAACATTAGAACTTTCAAATTCTATACTTGTATCTTGAAGTTGAAGTTGTTTATATTTTATATTGCAAATTTCTTCATGAATCAGTCTGATCACTGATCATCTAAAACCAGATCTTTTTAGCTTAAATTCTCAAATATAAAAGTGTGGATATGTCTTTAGTTACTTCCGTTACATGAGTGAGTACTTTCCCCAACGGAAATCTTTCTAAAACCTTTATACGTATGTTCATATGTATATTCATCTCAAGTGACATTTTCCCGTTGCAGAAAGCGGAAGCGGCGCTAGCTTACGAATTGCAAGCTGCAAAAATAAAACAAAAGATACGAAACGAGGAGATTCAGATCGAAGTCGTTGAGAGACGCAAGCAAATTGAGGTGAGATAATGGCAACCCCAGTCCTAACTAGTCTGTTTTAAATTAGGAATGTAGTTTAGTGTAGTTACTATTTTGCAGGTGATATTATGAACAAATATTGACTATATTATATTTTTATAACTTTAATATTAATGGCAACATAAAATGGCAACCCCAGACCTAACTAGTCTTTAATAAGAATAGGAATTCGAATTAGTTGTTACTATTTTGCAGGTGATATTATGAACAAATATTGACTATATTATATTTTTATAACTTTAATATTAATGGCAACCCCAGACCTAACTAGTCTTTAATAAACATAGGAATGCGAATTAGTTGTTACTATTTTGCAGGTGATATTATGAACAAATATTGACTATATTATATTTTTATAACTTTAATATTAATGGCAACCCCAGACCTAACTAGTCTTTAATAAACATAGGAATGCGAATTAGTTGTTACTATTTTGCAGGTGATATTATGAACAAATATTGACTATATTATATTTTTATAACTTTAATATTAATGGCAACATAAAATGGCAACCCCAGACCTAACTAGTCTTTAATAAAAATAGGAATGTGAATTAGTTACTATTTTGCACGTTATATTATGAACAAATAGGTATTGACAATATTATATTTTTATTACTTTAATAATAACCTCACATTTTCGTTCTAATTTACCAAAACTAATATTAGGTACATTGTTTATCCGTATGTGGCAATAGGTATTGGTCAGGAGCAAGGGCCATAGTTATTCCATAATTATCATGTCTACTAGTCCATATGGGTGGCTATGGTTTACCCATAACCTCGTAATTTTTTTCCACATTTCACACACAATAGTCCTGCATCAACCGGTGATTGTCCTTGGGTGCATTTTCATCTAAGGATAATAATTGCCGACTAATGTCCCATCACATTTAGATTTAAATTGTTCAACTGGCCTCTGCGACATGACTGTCCTGTGAATGGACCCTGTTTTCTCGTGAAAGAAAAAATCAATCATTTCGTTCTAATTTACCATAACTAATGTTACATGTTTAGAAAACCATTCATTTTTTAAACCCTACTTTTTTTAGGTTAGATTTGAATTTTTTTAGTATACATATATATTAAAATAAATTTGTAATTACAGGTGGAACAGCAAGAGATCCTGCGTCGTGAGGAAGAGCTGAAGGCGATGGTTCGTCTCCCAGCTGAAGCAGAGGCATTCCGTCTCCAAGCCATCGCTGAAGGAAAACGGTACATAATAATATTTTAACTATGATCTACCGGCCAGTTTTACCTCAATGCTATTTGACTAGAGTATACGAAATATGGTAGTTTCTTAAGTCAAAAACAAAAAAAAGAAAAAAATATATAATTTTTTAGATTTTATCAGAAATAAAACGTGTAATATTTGTCATTAAAACGATATGATCACATTGCAATTTCATACACAAAACTCCTAATAAAGTATCGTTTTTAACATTTCATTTGCGCAGCAACCAGTTACCCAACCGTGCAGTCATCATCATCATTTCTCATGTAACTAACTAATAAGAAGATCAATAAAACCTCAATATTCTATTTGCTTCCAGCACTCAAACTGTGGAAGGAGCTAAAGCTGACGCCGAACGTATCAAGGTCCTCGGTCTGGCCGAGGCCACCGCCATCGGTGACGTGGGTAAGGCTGACGCAGAACGCATGCTAGCCAAGGCCAAAGTCTACAAGCAGTACGGAGACGCGGCCATCATGGCGCTTGTACTTGAAGCGTTGCCTAAGGTGAGTTGTGCTTCTATGTGATAGGACGGCAAACGATCAGACCGATTACCTGATGGTAAGCAATCGGCGCCGCCCATGGACAACCGCAGCAACGGACTTAGCAGTGCGTTGCCGAAATTTTGGGGATAAGAGTTTGGAGATTTAGGGATTGGGGGGAAAGGATTGGGACTTCCGTAAGCTCACTGACAGGATTATGTGTAAAACCGGGCATTATGACCAGTATCACATACTTGTAACTCGCTATCTACTAAATTTTGAATAAAGAACGTGATTTTTGCGCTATTTGCCGAAATTGTACTATTTAATATCATTTGAATTGTTGACTTGCTTTCCTGCCACTGGCAACATCGCAACGGTATAGGACCCCGGAGTAGGACTGAATAAGCGTTGCCTCTCACAAATTTTACTATACTACATCCGCCCGCGGCTTCGCCCGCGTGCTATAGCCTATGTGTTAATAAAGGGTATTTATAACCTATCTACACACCAAATTTCAACCAGATGGGGCCAACCGTATTTGCGAGAAAGAATAATAAACATACATGCATACATTCTTAGAAACTTTCACATTTATAATAAAAGTAGGATACTATCGCATACAGTGTAAAAAAATGACGGCATCATAATTTTAATACGATCATTCTTTCTTTCTAGATCGCAGCAGAAGTATCAGCACCGCTCGCTAAGACCGACGAGATAGTGCTGGTCGGTGACAACGGCGCGACTGGTGAAGTGGCTCGGCTGGCTGGTGGCATCCCCCCAGCATTGAAGACCCTCACGGGGCTCGACCTCACCCAGGTGCTGAAGAGGCTCCACCCCAACGGCAACGGTCAGTAATGTAGACTTGCCATGCCGTCCATTTTGAGGTAATATGACTGAAGATGGTCCGAACCGTGGTCGGTTTTGAAGACATTTTAGGAGTTAGGTTGAATGGATGTGTATTCAAATGTTGGACCGTCTGTCGGAAAATTAATTGTTTTTTTCAATAAATTATGTTTGGTTACTAAAAGAAAGGAAATTTTATTGTAAACAACTATGAAAATACAATGATATTATAAGTAAAATGGCGTAGATAGGTTACCTAAACGAAATTCGATTTTCAAAAACGACACACTAATACACACATCTACATTCGTATGTTTAGACGTCAAAGTGAGATGGCATGATTCAATAATCGCGAGTGAAAAAGAGACAAATATGAAAAAGTGTGGCTAGTTAGCCACATTTTAATGTATCACTTGCTGAGCGCTTGTAACCTATCTTCAACTTTTTACTTACAATAACATATAGGTATATACATATTTTTAATAATTACTATGATTTAGTTACTCATTAAAATTTATGAAAAAAAACGTGGCGACAGTTCCGTTGTGACTTCAAACGAGTCGAGCTTTTCTCAGTTTATTCAAGTGAATAAGTCGTTATTTTCAATATATTATTACTATTCAAATCACTTTTTCTAAAATACAAATATTAATAAGCAAATCTATATCTTTAGATCCAATGGCCGCGGGCACCAGTAAGAAGAAGACGCCAGAAGTTGCAGCATGTTAAGAACCAATCAGAAAACAGGATACCGGTGCGACATAACGCTCCGACCAATAGCAACGCGTTGCGTAAACAAGCAGCCAGTGCCATACAGTTACCGCTGAACACGTGATACATGGTACAATCTAGCCTTTTTAAGCCAATTAATATATTTTCAACAATACCTACCTATCTACATTATGTAAGCTCAGATCAATAAAAAATGAAATGGTTCTGCGGCGTATAAAATTTTTTTGGCCTTTAAACAATTATCTATTTATTCTTTGACATTATATACCTTCACTAAAAGTTGTTTTTTCAATACTCAGATAAAAGTTATCTGTGGAATAAGTAAGATGCTGTCGCGTCAAAATGTTTGTATAAGACAGTGAATTTTATTCCTCAGATAAAATTTATCTGACTATTGAAAAAGCAGCCCTAAAATGAAACAACGTAAATAAAATTGTCATAATTCATGTACAGACGCGATCATATAAACCATGTACAACTTGTCTTTCTTCGATTTTGAACTTTATCATAAAACGGTAAAGTCCAAAATCTACAAAAAAAATTGAAAAAAAAAACCCAACCGTCTGTACAAAGCTCTGATTGGTTAAATCACACCTGTCAGCCAATCATAGATCAGATCTGACAGCAGCGTTTTTTAATGATCTGAAACCTAGCCTTTTACGTATAAGTTATGTATTAATTGTTTCATTAATATTTGTACTCAATGCATGGTCTGTTGTGATTGGCGTTGAGTAAAACTTGAATACTCACTTTAATAACATAGACATAGAGAAGGAACTGAGAAAATCTCCACTAAGTATTTGTATTATTTAGGAGAGACAACGATGTGCTGTCAATACCCATTTAAACCAACATGATTTCGGCAGCTTGTGACATGACAGCAGAATTTAAAAAAAAACTGTATACTTTTGTACACGCGTTAGAAGTTATATACATTCTTTGCCGTATGGATGGAAAAATTCAGTAGTGATTTACGATAAATATTAAAATCAATAAACAAAATGTATTCAAATACAACAGAACGAAAATCTAGAATATACAGCTTGAATAACTAGCTATCGGTTTTCATGCCACTTAGAGCTAACTTCACGATGTTGAATTGAGGTGTCGGTTTGTCTCATAATTTTACTCCATCGCGCCAAAAGAAAAATGTTTAACTTCAAAAGTAACTCGACGCATAATCGCTCTGTCTCTCTCACACATTTTACCTCATTAACTACGTAAAAATTCTCTGTTCTTTCTCTTAAGTCTATGGTCTGAAATCTAAAATATATCAAAGAGTCTTGTTGTCGTTCGAAAATCGATGTGAGTTTTCATATTTCTACGTCGTCATATTGTAGATAAATGTCTAATGCCTATTTAGTACATAACTTGTAGTCTATAAAGTTTATTGTATGTACCTAAGTAACTCATAGCGTGTTTACCGAAGATGTATATTTTTCAATAGAATGACTACAGGTAAAATTGTCTTAGAGAATTTAGATTTTGTACAACTCTGTAGTAATTAAAATAATATACTTAATAAGACGACGTGTTCTAAGGCACTGCCCTTTCCAGTAGGTCTTCAAAATTTTGTAAATTACCGTCGTATCGATCAATGTTTATAATCTGTACAAGTTTTTGCTTATATTTAAACTCATTGTAAAGGAAAATACGGTTACACTTAATAGTTTTAAGGTTCTTTTTTCGCTGTCGAATTGTGTGACAATTTTGACGTTTGATTTTCAGCTTTGTAATGAATTTTTGAGGTTATGTTCTTTAGTATAGAACTTGGAATCCCACCAATACTTACTTGGTTAAGTAAGATATTAAAGGTGCGATTTATTTTCGTGTGGTGTGCGTTTGTCTTTAATTCCAAAGCAATGGCATTTTTAAAATTGACATTTCGTAATTCTAATTATTATTTTTAAGTAAGTAAATACTTAAAATTAATGAATTAATTTAATTTTCGTTGTTGGTATAATTTTGTTATTACGTTTTTTTGATTATTTCGTACAAGCTCTTGTATTTAGATTGTATTCTAATATTGCACAACAAATGAATGTATCTGAAATATTTTCTTTACGGTATCGAATAAGCTAAATGATTATTTTAATAAAAATATGTGTAACAATTTGGTCGTATTTTTTGTCCCTACAAATTTTATAAGGATATTTTATCCTGAAATTATTTAATTCTCTTAAACTTTAAGGGGTTACAGTTTTTATGGATTTTATTAATAAGTACTATTAAACCTTATAAAATCATTTATTCGATATTTAATTAATACAGAGTAACAATAATTATTATAATCCTACAATATATACATAAAAGTATGCGTTCTAGTGAGGGTTGTACATCTCGCCTCGAATGTTCGTCTTCATCAACTGTGAACAAATTAAAAAATAAGTTATACTTATTGGCATTGGAAAATACACTTCAACACTTTGACTTAAATTCTATTTTTATAAAGTGACTATCAACTCGTTTGTCCAAAGCCGTTAATGTGATTAGAATTTTAATTTTCGAATTCTTCGCAGCAGTGGTAGTTGGTAACAATGATACTATAGGTAGTATGTAATAACATGAAACTAGCAAAAATTAATTTTATTACATACCATATTAGGTCACTTTTACATTGTGGGAATATGAGACATAATATATTAAGCTTGGTACCTTAACTTTCTCTTCATAGCTGAGTTCTGTCTTAGTGAGAACATAGGATAGCTTGGCCCACGCAGCTTCAGCCGTCATATCGTATGCAGGGACCACTCCGCATTCCAGAAGAAGCTGAAAATAAGGATATTAAAATAGGTGTTATCCATACAATAGTGGTATTTTGGAAGCAGCGATTGTAGATCTAAAATCATCCTTATAGTAACAACTAACCAAAATAAAACAATAAGTACATATCTATTTTAGTCTTAGAGCTGATGTTTCAATGGTTAGATAAAATTAACCTGGGGAATAATTACGATGCTGTCGCGTCAGAATGTTTGTATAAGACAGTGACATCAACAGTTTTATTCATCAGATAACATTTGTCTGGACTATTGAAAAATCAGCCCTAAATCAGATTATCTATCTAGTTTAGTCTTAATCAGATCCAGCTATAAACCAGTATAGATTCTAGGTAAGTTTTTAGCTGAGGGGGGAATATCATTTTGTCCCTCGCCCAGAGCGGGGCAGAGTGTGTCAGACCCTTACTGACTAAAAACTACCGCGTTCCTTATCCTGCTCTACTACTGATGGTAGAATGGTACATTATTGAGCTTAACCTGCAACCCTGCTTATTGTAGATTTTATAAGAGATTTGGACAGCAAAAGAGCTCGCGGATTACCTAATCAGCGCTACCCATAGACACCCGTAACGATGTAGAAACTACGAGCACGTTGGCGACTTTTTTGGCGATAAGGATTTGTGAGATTTAGGTGTAATTGGAGCTCACTTCGCCCTGTCCTTAAATCCCCGTGAACCTCACTCATAAAATTAAACGTTTTCGGTGAGGTCGTGGTATAAAGACTATATCACACTTAAAGATACATCAGCCGGGGTTGTGGGGTAAGCGCAATGTGACACCGCGACCTCGGCCCAGAGCAGGAGAAGGAACAGGGGGTTTTTAGTCAGTAAGAGTCTGACACTCCCTCACGCCCGGCCCTGGGCGGGAGAAGTCATTTGATGATGATTTTCCTCTCACAAGAAAAAAAGAAACAGTTAATCTGAACTCCCTAGGTAAAGCTAATCTAGACTTTTCAAAAAAGGATGGAATGAATTAAGGGCAGTCCTTATGGAAATATCCTCCTACTCACCAAGCCAGTCTCGTACAAAGGTTTAGCGATGACAGTTCCATTGATGCACTGCGTCACGTTCACGACCAGCACCTTGTTCTTCACGGCTGCCTCAATCTCTTTGTAGATCTCTTTGCGTTTGATAGGAATGTTACCGTTACCATATGTTTCTAGAACGACTCCTGTAAAGAGGAATATGCTGTTTAAGATTTGAATGTTAAACGCTTAAGAATTTGTATTTAGGTACTAGCTTCCGTCCGCGGCTTCGTCCACGTGCTATGTTGATAAATAGTCTATGTGTTGATCCAGAGAATCACCTCTCTACATCCTAAATTTCAACCAAATCGGTGAAGTAGTTTATGCGTGAAAGAATAAAAAACATACATCCATACACTGCCACCAACTTTCACATTTATAATATTGGTAGGCTTTGTAGTTTTGTTGACCTTCGTATAAATTCGTAGAAATTTGGGATAAATAGACAGTAGACCCTTTAGTCACTAAACTCTGTTAGTCCCTTTAGTCTTTTGAATTGGTTCCGTAAAGTTTTTCACAATGGTAAAAAAGATAAACAGAAATAAGTACTCTGTCTCTATTATAATACGGCCTATAACCGACCAATAAGAACTATTGTTAGATTATTATCATCACTATATACATAGTATAAAACAGAGTCACTTTCTCTCTCCCTATATCCCTATGTATGCTAAAATCTTTCAAACCACGCTAACGAATTTGATGCGGTTTCTTTTAATATATAAAGTGACTGAAGAGGAAGATTTATATGTATAATAACAACCGTGAAATCTATACTAATATTATAAAGAGGTAAAATTTGTAAGTTTTTATGTAGGGGGTAATATTTGGAACCGCTCGCTGGTCTCATTGCCAAAATTATTTACTAGCTTAGCAACAATGTTCCTGAGTGCTATAGGCTATAAAACATCACGCTAAGATCAAACCGCGCGAGAGCAGCTAGTAGTAGATAAATTTAGTACCAGCATTGTAACCGTGCGAAGCCGGGAATGGACCCTAGTCAATGGTAAAATGTACAAGCATAATAGAGTATACCTTCCATCCCAGAGAACACCGCTTTAATCAGTTCAGGTGTGATTGTAGGCGCCACCTTCAATATGTAGACCTTTCTGCAGAGCTTATCATGTAGTCTGCATTCATTGGGGACGGAGCCAGGAGGGTGGATCAGCATCTTCGGGTCTACATCCAGGGTCGACTTGGCTTCGAGTAACGCTGGAAAGTTGGGGGAGTCGAACGCGTAGATCTTTGTGTTTGATACTTTTTTAACTCTGTGAAGTGAGAGACAGGAGTTTTGTAATGTAGGTATTGGCATTAAGTCCATTATTAAGGCATTATTTAATTGTATAATTTTAAGTGTGTCCCTCCCTCTTCTAATACATAAGTCCCTAAATCTACACAACCCTTACAACACTCCTAACTGGTCAGCCACGCACTCGTAACTCCTCCGTTTGGTGTTCCATGGGCGACGATGATTGCTTACCATCAGGTAATCAGCTGGCTCATTTGCCATCCTTTCACATAAAAATATGTGTGTAGATATACCTAATACTAGTATGTCTATTTTACCAGAAAACATAAGGGTTATCGATACTAAGTATTATTAGAAAATGGTTCTGAATTCCTATATTTTTACCTTGTGCCTCTGAAGAGCCTAGCTCCGAAGAACACGGTGACTTCTGGAATGTTCTGTGTAGCAGCAATGAGGATTGCGCACAGCAAATTGTTGTTACCGTCGCTTCGGGGTTGGAAAATGGGAATCTGAAAATGGAAGATAATTTTATTCAGTTGAAGATATTATTATTTATTAACTTCAAATAGTATTTACTAAGAAGCTCAGCTCGAAGCTGCGTAATATTATATTAATGCGTAAATTACCATCAATAAGAACAAGTTGTCTTTTATAATTATGTTTATTCAACTCCATCCCTAAGGATACCAAAATGAAATAAATCTTGTTTTCATAAATTTCACTAATAATCAGAATAGTAGAAAATGAGTACTTAATAATTAATAGCGTTTTCGATTAAAAAATCTGGCAAAAACAATCGCAATAAAAAAATAAATAAGCAAAATTGGTCCAAGCGTTGGTGAGTTATAGGTAAATACGCTTACAAACACATTTTGCCAGTCCTTTTTATACAATACATAGTTAACCCAAGTATTAGATAAATAAATGACGATTTCTTACTTTTATTTCATTTATAGCTATTAAAATTTTAAATAGATCTTCTAACCTGTGCTCCAGTGAGTACAACAGTCTTGCCAACGGACTCCAACATGAAGGATAAGATGGAAGCTCCATACGCTGTCGTGTCAGTCCCGTGCAAAACCACGAAGCCATCGTAATCGTGGTAGAATTTCTGCAAATAAAATATAAAAGGGTTAATAGCGTATACGCGGAGCTAGTTTCCATAAAACTTTCAAGCTTTAAAACATGGGAACAAATTTTTTAAGTCATTGGTCGGCACACGAGCAAAGGGATTACCTGGTGGTATGCAATCAGCACCGCCCATGGATACTCGTAATAATAAGGGAATTACTACTGCGTTGTCGACCTCTAGGAGGTTTTTTGGGATTTGAAGTTTGAGGAAGGGGGAGGGGGAAAGAATTGGGCCTCCGATAACCTCACTCACACGGCGAAACACAACGTAAGTGTTGATTCAGGCGGGTTTTCTGTGAGAGCTCCACTTCCCTCGGTAAATTTAATGCAGAAAACAGAAAGCCTTAAAGGCACAAAAGAGAATCTACAACTGGGAGAAACCCAGTCACAAAACACAACGGAACATTTACTATTGTAATTGTAATGGACCTATGTGTAAGCTGCTATAAATATTATATGTATGTATAATAATGTCCTTACAACTAAAAACCTGCGAAGTCGTGGGTTTCAGTAGGAGACACTGCCTATTTGGTGAGCCCGATGAAAATTTTAAATAATTGTGTACAGCTTAATCAATGATTTTTCTTGATTCTTCTATTCAAAATTTTGTAAGACAAGGTAAATTAGATAGTGATTAGGGACGCCCGAATAGTTTCGAATAAATTCAGAGCCCTCTCTGATCTCGAAATTATTCGAAATCTAGACGTTCTATACTTGTTTTATCAATCTTTAACTGACTGATATTTGTCTTAAAATTGTTTTCATGTCGGACGCGCTTATCTTATCACGCTAGTTATATTATTGAGGAAGGTTATAGTTATCTAAAATAGTCTTACGACTCTTAGAAACAAAACACGTGAGAATCAAGACAAATGTCGTTCTTGTGTTCTTTTTTTAAACTCGAACGTTTTAAACTATTTTATTTTCTTTTTATTATTGGTCACATTTAGAATTTAAGTTTGTATTTGGAATTTTTTCACCAATCGTCATTATTATTTTACAGCTTTTGAGAAACTGTGTTCCACTAAAACACGTACATATCTACCTAAGTACGGAACTCAAAACGTCTATATCGAAAAAAAATGCATATTATTTTAAGGACTGATTTTTCAATAGTCAGATAAATGTTATCCGTCGAATAAAATTGTTGCTGTCACTGTCTTATACAAACATTCTGACGCGACAGCCGACACATAATTATTCTCCAGATAACTTTTATCAAATCATTGAAAAATCAGCTCTAAGTCTATAAAGTGGACCATCCGCTCTTGTAAGGCTAATAGTATTATTGTAAACTCATTGTCCAATTGTTGTTATTTGTAAAGTGACAGGTATCTGTCGCTACAGATACCTGTTTACTTGTCTATGACAGTGGTCATAGACAAGTAAACAGTCTTGTATTTTATTTTATAAGATTTTATTTATAAGATTTAGTTTCTACACTCTAAATCATAGGGTTTATGTGTGGGAGAGCCATACTTCGGTACGGGCCAGCTTGACCGGCGCCGGCGTGTGTGAGTGTGAGGGAGGTTACCAAAGGTCCAACCTTTCCCTTTCGTAATCCTCAAATTCGTTACAATGCCCAAAACACTGGCAGCGCACTTGCAAAAACTCCTCAATGCTGCGGATATCCAAGGGCGGCACCGCCCGATCGCTTACCATCAGGTGTATCTGCAGTGCCAAAAAAAACCTTACCTTTATATCCCTGGCCTGTGTGATCCAGTCATCCATGGTGAAGTCCGAGGAGTCCTTCAACTCTTCATATTCGTAAATTTTGTACAGCACCTTCTGTTCCGTGTCCTTGCCATCTGAGAAGACATTTGTCAATATTAATTATCTCTTTAAATTAATATTAGTTTATGATATTTTCGACTAAACTAATAATGAAGAAAAGGAGACGGATACGCTTTCATACAATTTTGGGCCTAGATGTAAAAAGATGAAACTGGTGTCATTTGATAGCTACTATATTAACAAACAATTACTGAAAATTTCGCAGATATTGGCAATCTGGGAGCCGAGATATAAAAGATTTAAGAAAAGTGAGGTTAAGTAACAATCTATATATATTAGCCAATTTTTGAAGTGCGATAGTGATTTTTACCCGATTGTCGGAGGCGGGTAATGGTTTTAATAGTATACGTGTGTATATTTGTATGTATTTATGTTTGTATATAAACAAATATCAAATATAAACCAGATGCATCCTTCGACTGCACAGCATAGCTTACTTCTTGTTTACCTACTTTCTCGTCTTTTTAGTTTACTTAGCAGGCAAGGCTTATGCAGTAAGGCTCGCCAAGGAGGAGGTCAGCCTCCTCCTTTGGCCATTTTCGAATCACTGCTAATATCATTTCGTCATCCAAAGCTCGACGTCCTAGTGTATTACAGCGACTAGTCGCTATGCCACAATTTACACAACGATCCATAATGTCGATCAATATCCTATCGGTAGGCTGTTCGTCGAATCCAAAATATGCAAGTCCAAGTTCAACGTTTAAGCGAAGTTCTCCGAGTCCGGTATGGTAATGGTAGCAAGGCAAGGGTCGTAGAAGGAGGAAAATCAAAGGTCCGTGGGAAAGCCGGGCCGAGGAAAATACCAATAAGAAAAATGGGAGGAAAATAAAAACACTCAGAACGCACACGCATAGACGATACGAAACGAGTGTCGATCGGTGTCATGTCAAATACAATAATCGATTAGTAAAAACGAATCGATAAAATATTTTTAATTATGTTGATATTTAAACTCTAAACTCAGTTTAAACTCTTAATATTGTGAGTTTAATTGATTTAATTATTTTAATTAAATAAATCATTCAGTGACATCATTTTCGTAAATAGTATAAACTATGTTCGTTACAGAGTTATTAATTACAATTGAATCGGTAATCCGATTAATTCGTAACCCTAACTTAATTGTTGGATTTTTCATTTCCCAGATTGTAAAATAAATTGATTTTTCACTATGTAAAATAGAAAAAAATAACCGTTTTTTTAAGCCCTACTTCAACTTATTACGTGAGGGCCCAGAAGTCCCCGTCTCCTTTTATGATAAGATATGTTATGTAACTGATTACTGAATGCAGTTGCATCAGTCCCAATATTAACAAGTCATAAAGACTTTACTGTGAGACAGGCGTTCAAAATAAAGGTCCATTATATAAAAATGATGATTAGCAAAATTAAACAATTGCTACTGTCAAAAAGATGTTCGATGAATCTGGAGATTAAGTGCACTGGAGAACAGGTTGTTTTTGCAAGTGCATAATGTGTTGCTAAGTGCAAAACTCAATTAAACCGGCTGAATGTTTAGGAAAGTTTATGAAAAAAAAAATCTACAATAGTTTGTGTTTAACCCGTTGAATGTCGGTTTATAAGACACAATAGAAAATACATTGTGTCTCGCGTGGATCCACGCTTAAAACACACGAAAGGTTAAATAATATTCAGCTGTGGGAGAGCCATGCTTCGGCACGAATGGGTCGGCACGTCCGGAGTGATACCACGGCCTCTCAGAAAACCGTTGTGAAACCACAACAACTTTATGTTTCGACACATGAGTGAGGTTACCGAAGGCCCAATCCCCTCCCTCAATTCCAAAATTCCCAAGAGGTCCGCAAGGCACTCGTAACACCTCCATTGTTGCGGATGTCTATGGGCGGAATTGATTGCTTACCATCAGGTAACCCGTGTGCTTGTAAACTATCACATAAAAAAAAATCGTAGTCGCGTAGTCGCGTTGCATAGCAGTCAGTTACCATGCAGTCAATTACCTAAAATTGTCTAAAAGAAAAAGAGACAGGTATTCATACTAACCAGGTAACACCAAATATTCCTTGAGGTCTGTCCCAGCGAGATGTTGCTCCCAGTAAGCATTGTCGTGTAACTGTGGCAGCTTCCTGATCACTCTTCTTTCTATGTCCTTCTGAGGTACAAGCACTGCAAAACGATAAAAGTTACTATTAACCAATTTTTTAAATCCGGAGAATCATTCAATGACTTGGATGAAACTGAGAGGGAGTGTTAGACTGCCCACTGCTGAGCAAACGCCTTTTCTTACACGGAGAAGGTTTGCGCTTAATCACGCTTTGCAAGGTGGATTGGCGATTTCAAACTTATAATTGGAAATTAATTCCAGGTTTCCTCGTCATATTTTCCCCACCGTATGTCAGCGGTGTCTTATTAATCGTAGAAAGCACATTAACTCGGAAAAAGTCACCAATGTGACCACCACCACGACATTTTAGTGACCTGTTAGTTTTGTCAGACTCTTACTGACTAAAAATGACTTCGTTTCTTCTCCTGCTAAGGGCCGGGCCGCTGTATCATTGCGCTTGTATCCTTCAGATTAACCGGGCTGTTTGAAGTGTTTGTGACTATGATTTTTGCTACCCGGGCGAAATGTAACTGTAGGTAAGTACATATTTGAATGTGTCTAAGACTTTATGATATAATGGTAAGCTTGTTTTCCCTTTGGTTGACCATACGACCATTCTAACATTAAGTTTTGAGCTTGTGTCTCGCGCTTATCGTCAATTACTTACATATATATTATGAATCTCATCATCACTCTCACACACACATCTCATGTTATATTTAGAGGTGAGCCCTTTTTTTGAGGGAATATCATCAAAATGACTTCTCCCGCCCAAGGTGAGGCGAGAGGGAGTGTCAGATTGTTACTGGTTAAAACTCTCCCGTTTCTTCTCCTGCTCTTGGTCGAGGCCGCGGTACCTTATTGCGCTTGAATAGAGATGAGCCCTCAGGGTACCCCGATTGTTCAGATAAATATTCGCCAATTTTGTTATAATTTTGTGACAAAACTTAACTTTTTAAATTTACAAGTCATGTTTTTGATACGCATCAGAGAAGTAATGGAAACTATTTTAAATCTACTTTATATTAGATAATATTTACTTATCACTGTTAAAAACTGACAGGTGACTTTAAAATAAGAGCCACTAAATGTCTGTTTATCATTTTGAAGATGTTATCAATATAAGATAACTGTATTCTCTAAATGTTGTAAATTAATTCCCCATTTACACATTATCAATTTACGTCGCAAATTATTAAAATAAGGTTCAATTTAGTTAATTACAAATGTGGAAGAACCATGCTTCGCCACGAATGGGTCGGCTCGACCGGAGTGATACCACGGCCTCACAGAAAACCGGCGTGAAATAACCACAGCGTCGTGTTTCACCGTGTGGCTGAGGTTACCGGAGGCCTACCTGATACCTCCCCAATCCCTAAATCTCCAAATCCCTAAATGGTCGGCAACGCACTCGTAACTCCTCCGATGCCGGTGTCTAAGGCCCGCGCTGATTGCTTACCATCAGGTAATCCGTCTGCTCGTTTGCCGACCCATTACATAAAAAACAAAAACCGAATGATTTATGCTTTCAAAGAATATTTGGACATCACTGACATACGGTGAAGGAAAATATCAATGGATACTTATAATTTTAGTTTAAAATTCGCCTTGACTAAACGAGTTGAGAAAAGCCTTTACACAGCATTAGGAACTTATATTCTGATGATTATGAATTGAGTCAATAATAGCTTATAAAGGTAAAACGAATATGTATACTTTAAGTACTTAATGTTAATTTGAATGCATGACATGAGTAATACCTAAGTATTTTTAAAAGTCATTTGTTATTCTATTTTTGTTACTTCATAAGTCTATATGAGCAGAGAATATTATTATTGATTTACACAACTATGATAATTATGATATTTAAGTAGAACAAGAAACCGCTGACAATCAAATAGCCGATAAAACTATTTCGTCTTAAAACATTATACATTGCCATTTTAAGGAATAAACTAAGGAACAATATATTAATATAAATACTTTAATTTTTTAAGAAAATATTTCTTTGTACATATATACCCCTTTATAAAGCGACAGTGACATCACTAATATCCAATACGTATACATTCAAATAAAATCACAGTAAAAAAATAAAGTAAAAAATAACTATTCAAAGAGAAAAATTGAGAAGACCACTAACCTCCTTTTTCATTTTTCAGCATACCAAAAGTGCCTCCAGTGTAGATAACGAGAATTCTTTTATTTTGCACCATTTTTAAATTTAATATAAAAAAAAACACTTTATTTCTGAGACAAAGTTCTGAATGAGATATTGCTATAGAGAAGCCGGCACTTATATTGATACACACGATGTTAAGATTGGAGACGTGTCTTAAGAATCAAGGTCGAGTCGTGTGTATCGGGACGTGTGAACTGGCCTGGGACGAGTGCATAACTGACTGCAAATAGCACATACTAACTAAACATCATTAATTAAAATGATGTAATAGCTTCTAGTGATACAGGTTGATTAAAAAAATGGAAGAAATGAGCTAAAATTTAGCTGTCTTTTCTTCACATTATCATTTTTATCCAGCAAAGGCCTCTTTGCATGCGGATAAGGTTTGAGAATTATAATCACCACTCTTGCTCAAGACGGGCTTGTCTGCTTAATTTTTATATATTCCTACTTGTTTAAAGATTCACATCCTTCTTTTCATACATTAAGCCCACTTCTGAGACGTACCTTACTTGATTCGCTTTTGGCAGAGAAAACAGTAGAAAAGTCGTTATAAGAAGAAAACACTACTGCCCTAAATTAATACGGTACAAATACCGGTATCCCGATACTCCCCTCTACTTTTCTAATATTTTCTTTTAAACCTTCTCCTGACAATAATAAATACAAAAAAAAATTGGCAAAATTGGTCCAGGCATTGTTGAGTTATGCGCTTACCAACACATTTTGCGATCCATTTTTATATATAAGATATAGATTTATGTTAGTATACATACATTATTTAGTATTTCAGTGACATAAATTTGAATTCCGAATTTAGACATACAGAATTAGAACAAACTTGTCTATCCATCTTAGAAAAAAAAAACAATAAATATAAATATATTTAGATTATAAATATTGCATAACATTATTAAATAAACATAGAATATCTAATCGTAGCTGTTAGCAGCAGTTAGTGTCGTGCGATATTGAACCGTGCGCAGCTTAACGTAACGCACAAACAGTTTTGTTTACTGCCCTTTTGATCTTAATATTCTTAGCTTATCCTAAAGATATTTCAGCAGAAGTTGCGGGTCAAGCGCAAGGTTTTTAGCCAATAAAAGTCTGACACTCCCTTTCGCCTTGACGAAACAGTTACGAGAGAGACGCCTTAAGATTCTCTCTAGGGCTACGTCACGTCATCTCTCATAAAACGTCTTTTACGATTGAGATAAAGCGACTGTTAGATCGGCAAGTTAAAAGAACTGCATCCAATGGCTTCCTGCAATCCTTTTGCCTGAAAGTACTCCTTAGAAGGCTAGCAATGTTATTGTGGCTTCTCTGATGTTGCGGGTGTACGTAAGCGGTGCTGATAATTTACCAAAACGTGGTCCGTGTACAAGTTCGCCTAATGCTCAATAAAAAAAGGAATAGGCTCCGAAGACTAGTTGGACGAGAACCTACATATATTCCCCGTCTGCCGTCGAACTGACGTTTTCGTATTTTTTATAATAATATGTGTGTGTGTGTATAAATATGTACACCCTGTATATTACATGTAAATATTCATTGATATGAAAACATGTACGACCACTATCTAAGGGAAAATTTACATAAACTTTTGTCTCTTGTATTACATTAGTTCCATATAAGATGTGTGAGGACATTGAGATCTAAGTTTGGTTTGGTGGTAGTTAGGTGATATTAAGTATTGATTTGGCTCACTGTTGCGGTTAATTTGCTATCGGTTTTGCTTACTCGTGTAATATTTTTCATAGATATTTATCAACTAAACTCAAAATATCAAAACTAGACAGCCTATTAATTGCCACCGTAAGCGCGGGTCTGCGGTCGGCGAGTATGGGTAGCTCGCCGCCCGACCAGAACCAGGCCCGAGCGTACGGCGCGTAGCGTTCCCGCCCGGCCTTGGGTGGGAGAAGTCATTTGATGATTTTCTCCTCACAAAAAAAAGACAGCCTTATCAATTTAAAATTCCTATCCCATAATTTGTCGTGGTGGTCGGGCAGTTACGGCGCCCGCTTATGCGTAACTGTGAGTGATGTACCTAAACCTACCAAGTACCAATGTGATCTTTTCCCTAGTTATATGTACATTCTAAGATTATTTAGGCGCCAATGGTGAAGGTAAACATCCTGAAAAAAGTTGGACTTATTTCTAATAACCAGTTTTAAATTGCGAGTCCGCCTTGAGCAAGCGTAGTGATACCCCCTATTGCATTTGTTGAGCATTGTGGACTCAGCTAAGGATGTAATGTGGTCATCATCATCTTCCTGCCCTTGTCCCGTTTTATTTGGGGTCGGAGCAATATGTTTTATCTTCCATTCTATCCTGCCACCCGTCACGCTATCGCTAACTCCTCCGTCTTTCATATCACTTCTTACACAATCCATCCATATTTTTTTTGGTCTCCGTCTCCCTCTCCATCCATCCACATTTATATCATTATATCTTTATATCTAGTATAAATGTGAATACATATAAATAAGGATGTAATGTGGTGATTTTATCAAATCAGGCACTATACGTTTGAACCTACGTTTGGACCTATCCAGTCCTTACTGATTTTATAATCATCATTTACATTTTATAATCATAAAATCAGTAAGGACTGGATAGGTCCTAAAGAGTAATCGAGTCTAATTTAGTCTTACAAACAATGAATTTGTTATAAAATATTACAAAGCATAACGTAGGAGATGTTATATTTTGTAACTCATTATACTCCTAGAGGTCATTCGTTATGAGAATAGTCTTATCATTGAATATAACTAATATTGTTCTAAACGTGACATGAGCTGTTGTTATCTTATCACCAAATCATGAAGTGAAAATATTAACAAGTCTTCTTAAGCAAACGGTGGCACATTACATAACCTTTTAAGTTTATTTATATAATTAATTTGTTTTAAGTACATAAGATTATTTGCTGAAAGATACATATGTATAAATAAACTCAACGATATGACTACAACAGTGCAATCAAATAAAAACAAACAAATATAGTATTTTGGTTATACATATAATGGTACTAGCTTCTGCCAACGGCTTTGCCCGCAATATCAGGGTAATTATCCCATTGTAATACCAGACTAACATTTATCTCTGTGTCAAATTTCGTTCAGATCCGTTCAGTAGTTTTACGGACAAAAGCAACAAACACCCATCAATCCATTCATCCATACATACACTAAGGTTTTAACAATACACTGTATCACGTGTCACATCAGCTTAGGTTTGCTTTAGGTACATAAATACAATCGAGATGTTTATGAAGTGCAGCGATCTAATTGGCTTGCTCTACACTAACCAACTAACCACACGGTTAAACGGAACCAGGTAATTTTTTAGGAAGTAAAAAACGTTTAATAAATGGTTTCTCTGGGACAGTCTAGGACATAAAAAAATACATACCCGCCCTATGCACTCTGTCAGTGCGCAGTATAGGTACTGACGTAGTAAGAAGCAGACATGCGTCTGCGCTTCAGGTATTGATGAGCCAGTGTATCTCTTGAATTCTTCTTGACGGACCCAGTATACTTATAAACTTTCGCGTTTAGAATATTACTCGGATAAGCAAATTTTGTTTTGACGGTATATACCTAAAAATCCTCAGCCTATACCAGCCCAATGTTGAGGCTTCTTCATATAGAAAGAACAGATAGGTAATAAAATGAAAAAAAAATTTTAACCACTACAGATGTGTCACTTGAGCTATATGACTCTGTTGCAGAGTTCAGAACACTTCGACTTTACAAAATTTTCCTTTGGATCTGACGTAGCAATGTGTAGCTGTGACGTAACATCAACGTAGCAGTGCGTATCTGTTGCGTAGCAGTAATGTAAGAGTGTGTAGCTCTGGCGTAGTAGTGTGTAGCTGTGGCGTAGTAGAAAGGAAGCAGTGTGTATCTGCTGCGTAGTAGTAATTTAAGAATGTGTAGCTGTGGCATAGTTGTAGAGTTGTAACTTGTAGCTCTGGCGTAGTAGTGTGTAGCTGTAGCGTAGCAACAATGCAGCAGTGCGTATCTGTTGCGTAGCAGTAATGTAAGAATGTGTAGCTGTGGCGTAGTTGTAGCGTTGTAACTTGTAGCTCTGGCGTAGTAGTGTGTAGCTGTAGCGTAGCAACAATGCAGCAGAGTGTGTCTGTTGCGAACAGTAATCTAAGAATTTGTAGCTCTGGCGTAGAAGTCACGTCGCAGTGTGTAGCTATAGCGTAGTAGTAAAGATTTAAGATTACCCTCTAGTTTCTCTCGGACAAAGTTTCATAATACATATTATAAGAATAGCTAGGGTTAATTTTCGTTGTAACACAGGAATAATTCAGTTCAATAAAATACCATGTTAACCAGTTAAAATATATTTTATTTTGTATATATCGTCAATAACAGGGATAAAATAATTATATCGAAAAAAAAAAGTTTTCATAAACATAACAATTAGACCTCAACTTCCTATTAGCCTGAATGTACTTGACCACATGCGCAATGAGGTCTTTATGGCCCTTTAACTTCCTTATATTTTATGCTCTAATCACGTACGTTTATTTAATAAATAATCACAACCATGGAGATGATTAAGTAAGACTAATATAACAAGTATGAAAGCTATATTATGTTAGTTACTAAATTGTAATAGTTTGACATATAAACTAAATTTTGTTCTTACATTATCTTCGAGACAAATCAACTCACCGTCAGTTATGACAGAACTGTTTTGAATCGTTTTTGGGGAATTTCGATTTTTACATTTAGCTACTTTTTTAACTTAGTTTTTTTTATTATAGTGAGAAAATCTGTTTAAATTATTTTCAATCAAGATATCTACATACAAAGTAGTTATACATAAGTTGGTTTATCAGAAATAAGTTCACAAATACATTGAACAAATGTAATAAAAATAATAAAATATAAGTACATGTAACAACATTAATGTTCATTTATATTTTATGTATATCAAGGAACTTCGATCCGTTTACAATATTATCATAACGTGAAATATTTGATAACCTCCTCCTCCGGTAGATTTGGGTTATCAAAACTTTTTTCAAACCGAATTGTAACTTCAGTACATCGTAGAACTGCTCAGCTTAATACACAATATTTATAATTAAATGGTAAATTATATCTTAAAAGATGGCTACCCTTTATAAATTGCCAATTTAGCAGATTACATAAAATTTACGTAGTTTTTAAATAAATCAGACGTCTTCATCTTCTTCTTTATAAGC